AGCACACTACACACCCAAAGGAGCACACTACACACCCAAAGCAGCACACTACACACCCAAAGGAGCACACTACACACCCAAAGGAGCACACTACACACCCAAAGGAGCACACTACACACCCAAAGGAGCACACTACACACCCAAAGCAGCACACTACACACCCAAAGGAGCACACTACACACCCAAAGGAGCACACTACACACCCAAAGGAGCACACTACACACCCAAAGGAGCACACTACACTACAATCTTTGAACATCTTAAAACGCTATTAGCATCGTTGCCACTAACTAAATGTGTATTGAATTGATTTCCCGCTGTTATATTCAAATTAGTGTAAACTAAAATAGGACATTCTTGCTTTTAAAATTACAAATGTTACATAATGTTTAAAAAAAACGACAGAAAAAGGCTGCAGGTGGTTTGTTTTTTTAAACATAATTTTGATAACAAAGGATGTAACGAATTTTAATCAATTAATTGTTTGTTTGTAAAAATGTTTCTTTTGGCAAGCAGAATGTTACCGAGAACAGCTAATGTGTAGAGCAAATAATGTCAACACAGACAAGCAAGTACAAAGATGGGTTAAGTTGCGTGTTTTAAATAATATGACTTCGTTGATGTAAAAACTGCAAACAAATTGATTTTACATTAAATTGTCAAATGGGCCTGAAATCGTATCAATATATGTTTGTGAATAGATGTAATAACTAAGTGGTGGTGAGATCTTTAAACTTTGAATAATGACCAATCAAAGTAAACATTAAACCCTTGTGAGTACGTTCATTCAAAGATGTTATTCAATGAAAAGATTTTGAAATAGAAATTCTGAAAAAAAATGTATTAATGATTTTTATTATTTAAAAAGCAAAGTACAAGATCAATATTCAAATTCATATGTGAAAGTTGTTTCTTTGAGAATCAATGCAGTTGTTCAATATGCATTAACAGTTCAATCAGTTGATCACAACGCGTATTTCCTTTCAGGGGAATAGTTAAGATTTATATTAATTAAACATTTGGCTCAAATTGTATTGAATGTCAGCTCGTGTTCTATATTTTAAGTTTTTATATATTGATGACGCAATATTTATTTCAGTTTTGTCTTCTTTCTATGTTGGTGATATTTGAAATATATATATATTTTTTTTTTAGTGTAGAAACATGTATACAATAATTTGCTATATAATTTACACACAAATTTCACCTCATCTCATTGCATAACATACAATTTTAACATGTCACATGTAACATTTTTTTTTATTAACATCCAGGTTTTATTTTTCAAGAAAATAAACATTCCAATATTACTTGACATAATGGATATGGTGTTGGCTGTTACGCTGAGGGCGCTCAAATCTCCGCATGTCTTTTATTTTCCAGACCACGAAGCCGATGACCAGCAACGACCCCGCGAGAACTGTGCCCGCGACGATGAAGCCAATAGCCAGATAGGACAGCCCTTGGTGACCCAGGTCCAGACCCTCCTCAGCGAACCCACTGTCCAGACACATGACGAAACAGTTCTCCATGGCCAGTTCACCGTGACGGTCTACAAGTGAGACTTCTATCTGAGGTATTTTCTCCCACTTCTTGGGTCCTTGTGTCTGAGCGCAGTCGACGGCGAGGTTCACCACGCAGTTGCTGCCCGTGGTGCAGACGTGCGTTGTGGTGCATTGGACTGGGTTGCTCGCGGGCATACAGGAGTCGATGAACTTTGTTCTGTTGCTGAATCCCACGGTGTTGTCTATAATTTCCATGTTGCCAGAGTTCGGGTCTATTCGAATGACGAAGCTGTCACCGGCTGATCCATGACAAAATATGCTGTTGACCCTACAAGAGTAAAAGGGGACCAAAAAAAAATCTGATATCTTTTTTCATGAGCTGAACTTTCATATCATCGGTCTTTTTTTGTGTGTTCCTACTAGAAACATTTAACATTTATTACAATATCAATCATTATCAACACTTCCTTATTTATTGCTTATATGATCTAAACCTCTACTTCAGTGTACAAACATAAAGTCAATAGTATAGTCTATACTTTTTTTTTTTGTCCTACATGTTTATATTTTTTTTTAGTTTTTTTTTTTTTTTTTTTATTTTTTTTTTTTTAAAAAAAATTTTTTTTTTTAATTTTTATTTTTTTTTTTTTAAACATGCTAATTTACAAAACAAGTTGTTTTTTAAAATTCTAGCTTTTTTAAAATAATGAGCTCAATTCGTAACAACAAATAAATCCGTTCCTTCAAGATTCACAACAAAAATGTATGTGTCAAATTGGGTTATTAAATTTCGTTATCAGAGATAAAAAAAGGGAAAATTTATTTTAAAATAATAATGCTAAATCTGTAATTTACTTTTCCCGCCGGTTACCTCGACAGAAAACTACCCCTTGACCCCACAGAATTATACCCTCCGTTCCCACAGAACACTAACCCCCCGACCCCAAAGTTATTACAGCATTTAGGTAGGTAACCAGGTCGTCGTTATCACATGTTGGTTTGTTGACAGAGGCCCTAAGCTAAATAAATCAAGTCCAAATGTCAGAAAATAGGCTCGCTGGCGAAATAATAAAACGCAAATTTCAAACTATAAAATGTGAAGCGTGTGACGTAGATTACGGTGTAAACAAATAAACGGATTGAAATATTTTAATATGGGAGAAACATTTATGGCCTGTGATGAACTCTGACCCATCTTTGTTGAACTCTGACCTGTCTTATCAGTTGAAACGTACGCCGCCATTGTGGATAGAACTATGTCTTTATTTTTTTATATTTTTTTATTGATAAAATATTTTTTGTTTAAAGATAGACTTTGTGCCTTTATAGAATACAATATTTTAGTTTCTAAAATCAGAGACACTCTGGTCTTCAGACTATAGGAGATGTCAAAGGCGATATCAGCTAATTTAGGATCAGGCCGGGCGTCAGTCTGTCCGTTTGTGATTTTCTTAAAGAACAGAAGACCATATAATAAAATATCAGGTCTAAATTGACAGACCTAATTACACAATAAATATTATCTCGAGCTTGTTTTGAAAATTTTAGAATTTTAGTGTAATCATATACAACTATGTATGCATGGTTCTTGTTGACAGATATTTTATAACAAGAAGTAAATGCTCGCCATTCCCCAAGTTACACTGTGGCGTTAAGCACCAAAAAATATGAAATGTACTGTTTATAGGGGTGAGGTTAGGGGTGGGGTGAATTCAAAGTTCGCCCTTGGTAACACAATGCCTTGCCCCACAGATATCTCATTATTTGGACTTATACTCGCATCTTCTTAATTCTGTGTTCTAGGGTTTTTGGTTGTTTTTTTTAAAGTTGTGTCTACAACAGTGGTTCTCAAACCTTCCAAATGCAGCGACCCTTTCATATAGTTCCTTGTCTTGTGGCTATTGGCAATCACTAAAATTATTTTCGTTGATACCTCCTAACTGTAGAGTATATGTGTTTTACGATGGTGTTAGGCAACCCCTGTGAAAGGTCGTTCGATTCCCCAAAGGGTTCGCGACCCTCAGGTTGAGAACCGCTTATAGCTTGAAAGATTTATTTTTTTTTAATAATTATATTGATAGTTTAACAAATAATTTTAAAAATATAAAGAGGCATGAAATAAACAAGACATACGCGCTATATTTATAGGACATGTATGCAACTCATACAATCCAGTAGATAGTAAACGCACTGACCGCATGGACAAACACAGTTATATTTTCGTCATGGATGTCTTAACGACATTGAATTGATGGCAACAGATTTTTTTATTTCTATATCACATTGCTCTGGAACTCGTAACCAACGTATGTTGGTCATTGGCAAATGCAAGGAATTAACGAATTTCAGAGCCTGTGAATCTGTTTACGTTGATAAGGAAGTATCATTTTTTTTATAACAGAACCAACGTTGTATGCTAAAGTTCCCACAGTTTTCCGTTTCCCCTTTGCCCTTGCTAACTGCAGATTTTCCCATGTCGCCATAAGTAAGTTCTAAGAATCACACTCTTAAATAGCGAACAGATTTTTTTTTCTTTTTCTCCACTAAGTAAGTTACTTCTTTGCATCAAATCCGATAATTGTCAAGCCTTATAAAATCAAACGGAAATTGAACATACTAAGTTGGAAAGATGTTATAAAAGTTATTCGGTGCACCACTATAATGAAGCCACTGCCCCACCCCCCCCCCCCCCCCCCCCTTTTCAGGGTGGCGTAATACACCTTTTGGAAACAACCGTCTTACAACGAGACGCTGCACATCAAAACAAAGTATTCGACTTACGTCCTGAGCACGACTGCGCTCAACACAAGATCCTTTGCGCCACCTTCTGGGTCAGGTACGGTGGAGTCCATGTGCAGGGTTATCCGAGATTGTTGACATGCACACTGACCCAGCCAAAGGTACAGCACACATAAAAAGAACTTTGCCATCGATTGTGTAGTGGACAGGCCGGCCTATTGTTTGCAAGTCAGATCTTCAACGAAGAAATACATGCATGGAAACAGTTTATATAATGTGTTTAAGGTAATCAATGTATAGCTAATACATGACTGAGTCTTTGCGTGCTAGCTCGAATTTAAAATAAGTGTCTTTAAATTTCATTTTTAATTTTGAACTAGCTTTAAACTAGCAAACTTATCTAGTTTCACATGTGTTTCTTTACTGTTATAATGTTATTGCAACTAAAAAAATCGCATTATGAATATTTTGCTATGCATCTAGAAAAATCATCTTAATGTAATAAGATTAAATTTTGATATGTTATTTCAATATGTTTTTTTCAATAGCGAACATCAAAATTATTTTTTTTTCCATGGGAAGTGGGGGGTAAAATGTTCTTTTCTTTCATATAAATATATTTTAATCCGATGACTTTAGATTGAGAGACCTTTTCATATCATTTCAATTGTCTAAACACTCTGCGCACATAATTTTAATGATACACTAGTGTAGGAGAAAACACTGTAAAGGAGTTAAATATATTATAACTAACTATTTTTAATATTTATTTTAGGTATTACAGATGGATTTACCGTTCTATAAAGTTATAATGTTTCCTCCTTTTAAAATCTCAAAATTGCCTAAAAATAGCAGAGCTGCTGTGTACACACACGAAACCAATTAGCCAGTTTACATTGGTCAATTACAAAACACAATTACCTTTCTTAATTGTTCAAATCAGTAGAACGACTGTTCACGTCGAATCGGAATCTAATTAGCACTCCCTCGGCAAGTACATCCACGGGACACATTAAACAACTACAGTTGCTTACTGGAATGTACTAACTGAGAAAACAACCCCCAAAAAGAAACACAATTTCATGATAAACTTCTCTTTTTTATTTGCTCGAATTGTTTGCTAATGGAATTATTTAGTTGTCAATGGTTGTCCAGTTGTAAGTAGTTACTGATCACATTATTTTGAAGCCTACGTTCCAGTGATGAAATCCGAAATCTCTGTGCATAACCACCACCGTATGACTTGTATGCAGCTATATAAACAATAGATTGTGGCCACACATGGACCAGGCTGAGCCTAGCTGGCTACTTTACCAATGTTTTATCTCCACTAGAGAGAGAGAGAGCGTGTTTTGATAACGACGGCAGCCTTGTTTCTATAACCAATGGTTCTCAAATAAATAAAAAAGAATTGTTCAATTTATAGTCACTTGTTGTTTCATGTTTCTAAAATAATACCTTTAGGTAGTTTCATTATTTTGTGTAGCCATTTATTACATTAACAAAAAAGTTCGTTGTTTTGTTTTTTTCCCACATAGGATATAGTGTAATATCAAAGAAAGATGGGAGATAACTCTAGGTGATGAAGACTGTGCAAGAACAGTTTTAAGGCAAAGTTTGATAAGACAAGTGTCTTCACTGCCAAGGGGGGGGGGGCGGCTTAATACGACATGACCACAGGCTACTGTTATAAAATATTTTAAATATTTTAAAATCTAGAAAATAGATCCTGCGATAAAGCAAATTTAATAAATATATAAAATGTATTATTAGTTTAAGAAATGTGTGGCCTAGAGTTAAAATATTACTATAAAATATCGCCTCTTCAAATTTTTTTTTTTTTTTTTTAAATTATCAAGTAACTGTCACTGGAATTAACAACTCATTTAAAGTAAGGTTTGTGTAGCTCTTCTACAAAATGTTTTATTCTATTTAAAGAATTCGTACATTATTAATGACAATCGGTATTTTATAAATGTATTATTAGTTTAAGAAATGTGTGGCCTAGAGTTAAAATATTACTATAAAATATCGCCTCTTCAAATTTTTTTTTTTTTTTTTAAATTATCAAGTAACTGTCACTGGAATTAACAACTCATTTAAAGTAAGGTTTGTGTAGCTCTTCTACAAAATGTTTTAATCGATTTAAAGAATTCGTACATTATTAATGACAATCGGTATTTTACATGGTTGAAATATTGAGCTCTTTTTTTTTTCTACACACTATTCTATATTATACCCCTGTCCTCTTCACATCTTCTCTGTTCTCCTTCTTCATTAAATTAGTCGACTTGTGTTGCTTTATTTTTTTCTTTCTTTATTTTTTGCATTTCATTCTTTAAATAGCTATATTCAATTAGATGTTATTTCAAACATTATTTTTTGTACCAGCAAGGCTAAATCGTTTATATGTGTAATTAGGGCTGTTATTAAAACTAGCTATGATGTTAATATAATCCAAATTTAAAGCATTAGGCTTATAATAGTTTAACTTTTAAAAGTTGTTAACTTTGAAATGCCTCTACTCGATACAGAACGTTAACACTAACTAACACGCTGGTTTATGGTTTTATCCTATGACAAAATCAGAATAATATTCAGGGCATAGTATAAAAAGGAAAAGGGTGTCGGGGAGGAGGGGGGAATTAATCTTGAATAATTTAAAAGAGGTGATTATTTCTGAATGAGATGAAAATATATTTTTTTTTAAAATTCTCTCTGATTAGTTGTACTTGATAATGGAACATGAAAACAGTCGTCTTAGCTTTTTTTTTTTTTTTTTTTTTTTGGGTTTTTTTTTTGTGGGGGTTTTGTTTTTTTTTTTTTTTTTTTTTTTATGTTAATTTTTTTTTTTGATAATGGAACATGAAAACAGTCGTCTTAGCTTTTTTTTTTTTTTTTGTTATTTGGGATTTTCTTTTGATGGAGTATTGTTTTGTTACTTTTTTTGTTTATTAGGTTAACTTTTATTTGAACGCTGAATGTTTTAAAATGACTGAAAACATTATTATATTAATCCTCTGGCATATGTTTACTTGTAAAGCGCTGAGGAGAGTTATAGTTTAGAGTCCAGCAATGTACGAGGCCTTTTCTTTATTTTTAGGGCGTTCAAAACACTGTCTTCCCCTGGCTCCGGTACCGGAGGTCCTGCTCTTGTACGCTTAGGTTGGTTGCACTTGTAGGTTGTTTGACAAGCATTCTGACCAACTGGCCGAACCAGTTAATGTTGGTCAAGCTTTATAATGGCTGCTGGGAAGATACAAATTGTTTGTCTTATTTCCTGGTTCAGAATGTGTTTTTAACACCTGCTCACCTTAAACATCTCGTCTCTCAGTTAAGTATTGTTCTTTCGAGCCTTTCATTCAGAGCCCAGGTTTGACACTGCTAGTAAATTCTGGAACCAGCTCCCCTTCCATATCCGTCATTGTGAAACCTCGTCCATTTTCAAAAAGTCCCTTAAAACTCATCTGTTTAGGTCCGCCTATGACCTGTGATGCACCCTCCTTGCCCTACCTCATTTTCTGTTTCGGGTTGATCCTGAAGTGTCAAAGTGTCAAAGTGTCCTCGTTTTATAGCCATTTTCATTGTTTCTATAGTATAGTAGCTACTATCCTAGTGCCTCATTTTTATTTACTTAGTTTACATGTTTTAATAATTGTAAAGTGCTTAGAGCTTTATGGTAAGCTCTATATAAAAATGCCTAAATAAATTAGGGTTGGAATAAGAACAGCGTTACTTAGCCTGGCTTTATTCTACATCTTTATTCTTGGGTGACTTAATGGCAAGGCGACTTGGTAGCCGAGTTCATGTTCTCTATCTCACTATCAACGTTTCCCTTCCCTGTAAAACGGTTACCCAATATTTAAACTCCTTCTTTTGGGGGACCAGCTGATTATTGATAGTCATTTCCACATTTTCTCTGGTTCGGCCTACTGACATGAACCAACACACAGCTTTGATTGTTTTCATTCCGGTAAGATCGCATATACTGTTCAGGACATCAACATGGTCGTGCGGCAGTTCATTTGTCATCGTCCAGAATTCATTGGTCACCAGCACACACACAAAAAGACATTAAAGGAAGGCATCAATGAATTAGATTGGCATCTTTTGTAATTGTGTCCATTTATCTAATGAACAGCAACGGCAATAAAACATTGCCAACTCCGACTCTATATTTTACTCCAAACCACTCAGAGAGCCCAATCGGGCAACACACAGCGCAACCATGTTATTGAATTGAGGAGATGACCTTTTACCTATTGGGTTTCCAGCACCTCTCAGAGTTAATTACTGTCAACATATTTGTCCCCGTGGGGACCCCCCCCCCAAGATTAAGCCTTCGTTGATACTGACAAGCTGTTCACAAGTTGGCAACATCTTCCTACTGTCTTAAGGGCGTGGATAAAATGTGTATTAGCTAAGGCCCTTGTCAGCTTCATTTCTAAGTTTTGATTTTTAATAATAATTTTTAAAAATAATAACTGTAGTTATATTTTGTAAAACATTTATTTATTGATACATTTAAAAAAAAGTAATATAAAAAAGTAGGATAGCGCAGAAGATATGAACAATTTAACAAAATATTAAGAACTATATTTCTTCAAGAAAGGTTGAATATATTTAGATTTAGAAATGTGAGCAAAACAGTTTTTTTTTTCTATTAGAAAAACAAGCACGGGAAAAATTATAAAGTTTTTTAATGCATTTTAAAGTATCTGAAATACTCGATGATAACAAAGTCGATTTTTTTTATTTAATTTATTTTTTTAATATAAGTTTTTTACTTTTAAAAATTGTTTGTCTATCATAAAGTATTTTTTTGTTTCTTTAAAATCTATATGGGCCTGGAAATTACGGGGTGAAAACTAAGCTCAAGTCTTTGCATAGATCAAGCATACAGGAATGAAATAAACTAATATTTTTATTTCAAATTTTAAAGGGACAAAATAACGCATTAAAAAATGATAAGAGGCCAATAGGGTAGTATCCCTTGGAAAAAAATTCTAAGAATAAATTTAACCAATATCTTACAGAGCTAAACGAAAGAAAATATAAGAAACAAATCGTTACATGTTGTATTTTAAATCGGCCAGGCATTTGTTAAAGAAAATATTCACAATATTTTTTCAAGGCAGCTGAAGTTTTTAGGGCTTACTGATTGGAATTTTGTGACCGTCTTTTGGCAATGTTCATGAACAGCATCCCAAAAATCTCTAAAAGTCAAAATAACAGTTCAGTCCGTCAGTAATGGTATTCGTTTTTTTATTTTATTTGACCATAGCATGATAACGGTAACCCATTTTTCGTCTCAAATTATCTGATATGTTCAACTATTTCATTAGAAATTAAGAGCTTGAGTGTATTGTATTATAAAAATGTCAAAATATAAACAAAACAAATTCATGTTCATCTGGATATTAAATTACCGTCATTAAAATGTCTTCACCGGTAGACAATATGACAGTAGTCGTGTCATTATCTAAAGTGGTTGTTGGGATCTGTGTCAAAGAATAATTAGTTGAACTTTGAATAGTCTCCCGAGGAACGGTATAAGAACAGAGAGCCTTTTCATTTTCTGAGGTTTTACCCAAGGGTCACAGCTCATTTTAGTCATTGCCAATATCTCTAGATAATTCTCTTGGTTTAGAATATTGATCCGTGGTCATGGAATTTGTTGCTGTTGTGTTATCATCGTCATGTTTTTTTAAATTCCAAATAAGTAGGAGGATCACCATAAAATTGTTGGCAGGAGCTATTGCTAGGTATAATGACAACTGACGTTTGAAGAATGGTAAAAGGTCTTTAAACTATACAGTTCACTGAGCTTGGTGTAAAGCCAGCAGTGGTGATTGTTTCATGTACAGGTACACACGATATTGAAGTAAATATCATGACTAATATTTTTGAGATGGAGCTTTAAATGTTAAAAATCATAAAATTGTATGACATAATATTTGAATAAATATATATTAATATATATCATGAAGATGCAGATTATTAATATTCAAATATATGGCTTCTTTAAAGTTTTAAAGATTTTATTTACACTAAAATTCTGCACAAATGAAAGCTTAATAAATCTAAATTTTTCTATGAGTGATACAGTGAAATCGATGAAATCTATTTCTCTTTTTATTTTTTTTTGTATTGTTTCAAACGTAGACAAAACATATGTATTCTTTTATACAACCACGACTAACGTTGTAAGCCCATCAATTTCATAAAATTAAAAATAATTGAAGATAATGCACAACTTATTTGCTTTAGAGTATAAAGAAGTTTTCACTTGTAAAGAAGCATGTATACTGCATATAAA